ACTATGGATTCAATCAAAGGAGGAAATACTTAGGCTGAATATTAGGAAAATGCTTTCGGAGCAGCGAGCTCCATTAGACGTCAGAACAGACTCCTACGTACTGCAAGTCCGGAAAAATATGCAACTCAGAACAATCCTGCACCAGTGCCCTCGGAGATGCATGATGTTGGAATGGACTTAGGAACCAAAAAGGACTTTTCCATCTCTAGTTTCCCTGCGCAGGTTCAAATTCGATCATCAGACCAACCACACAGACCAGCACGGAGCCCTCTCCTGGCATTCTGACAACAGAGGTTTGTGTTCTACAGTCTACTCCGTAATTTCTTGGGCTTTACATAGGGCACCAGCTGAAGCATCCCATCTCGAAGCCTATGATCTTTCTCACTTTTGTCCTGCGAGAGCACCCGTGTGTTCTATCCGGCAAGCTGGCCTTCGTCTCCAAAGCAACGTAATTACATGGCATCTTGAGTTAGCCAGATTTCAAGAACTAATGAAGCAAAACTCTTCATTCTTTAATCACAAAATCCTACACCACTAACCATTTACAGACTCTCTGTGCCCTGGTCTCCTAGCCCTGCATTCTGACATACGTGTGGGTATGCAGATGGGCAGTTTACTAGCTTAAAATGTTTGCCTGCAGCTGTGCCATTCAGCAATGATTTCCTGCTTGGGGTTTTATACTTTGTCCAAAACCGACACTGGTGTTTTTCCCTCAGAGGCTAGCCAGGGCATTTATGGGATCCATTACCTATAAAATATCTGAGCACTTGGCACAGTCTTGAACAGTCTGAAGCAGAGAACACCACAACCGAATAGGAAATGAAAGAGGTGGAAATGGGGAAAGGCAAAGTTTTGCCGTCCTTTGGATGTTTTACTCTTTCCTGGCCATACGTTTTCGGCCGTCCCAAAATTCTCTGAAATGCTATCCATATTCCTCACTAACAAGGTGGGCCCAACTTCAGTCACCTACAGACTCTCTCCCCCCTCCCCCCCCCCCACACACACAAAGGAACAAATGTGGATGTTTACCTTTGCTTGTTGTTTATGCAGGATTTCATGGAACTGTTAAAAGGAATTTGCTTTTGGAAGGTCTTTGAATATTAGCAGTGAGGCATTTGGTAATCCAGACTTGGGGCTCTCTCGTTCTGTTTTGCAAATGTGGCCACTCGAAGTAGTCATGTAAGAACTTTTTTTTGAGAGTCTGTAAAGTGGCAAACAAACATCTGGCAGGAGCAAGAATGAAGGCAAGAAATGAGAAAGAGAAGAATTAGGTCTGAAAAAACCTTACTCAGAAAAAAAAATTAACAAGAATTTGGGAAGAGGCCAACTAGTCTGCATGTAGATTCAGGAAAATCAAAGAAGGATTTCTGGCCTAGCGCTATAAAAATAGTCTTATAGTAATAAAATCCTGAACAGCAGCTACAAGGGCGTAGGTAAAGAGTCAGGGAAGAAAGGATAAGCTTGTTAAATGTGGGAAAAGGAATCTTTCCTGTTCTATCACCATGGTGTCTGAATTAGTACCTCCCTGACTCAAGCATCAAGGAAGGGTGAAACACACAAGAAAATGACCTAAGGAAACCTCTACTATTTCCAGAGAGAAGAAGGGAGGGGTAAAGCCAAGTGAAAGCAAAAAGTCTGTCAAGACCCTGGCCTGAATGGCTAGGTTGACACCCAAACAGAAAAATATGGGGGTAAGGAGATGTATCTGCTTTTAAGAAACATCTGCTAAAACAAACGGACTTTCATCAATTGTAATCAAAGCAACAAGGCGTTGTCATGTGCGATTCCCTATCTTTTTATTTTTAAACATTCATATCTGTCTGCTTTCATCTCAGCAAAGTAGGCTTTCAATACAGCTGCCCAAATGCTAGAACTGCTCCCACTCTATGAACTGTAGAGGAAGAGAGAACAAAATATTTGAATACTTATACATGTGCAGTGCCACTGCGAACAATGGGAGATGGTGGCACATTTGAAAAGGTTCCAGTTCATAATGACTCAATTTCAATTATGAAAAATAACAGGCAAAAAATGACCATGAATCCCAAATACCTTCGAAAGGTATTCCATCGGTAGGCGAGGAGGCAGGAAGAAACCAGGGTATATTCATGTGAATTTGTAGGGTGATGTAGAGAAGAGAGAAAGGAAGTTGGGATGAACAGGAAAAGGGAACTGGTGTGGACAGGGGAACATAAGAAGGTGCAAGAGGCAGGAATTTGGAATGGTTTGTGCACAAAATCTTTTAAAAAATCTCCACTCAAAAACTACATTAAAATGGAATTAAAGTTGAAAGTGATACCAGAAATGTAGGTAAACTATAGTACCAGAATGTTGTAATCATCCCAAACCGAAGGCATTCTAAACCTAAGAAATGAACAAGTAAAGTTAAACTTTAAAAATCCAAACACATTAAGGTACGGAGCAGCGTGACACTACAGGGCAGGGGGAGAGAATCCAATGTGCCTTTACAAATCAGTTGAATGTAATCAAGGTCCCGCACACTAGACTGCCTTCATCATAAACATATGATTTTTGCATGGGATCACTATAGGGCAGAGTTTAGGTTTCTGCAAGAGGAGAAACTTTAATTTATGAACAACAGTAAGGAGAAAAAAATGCCATTAATTCCCCCAAAATATTACTCAAATGCAGCCTTTGAACAACATCTCCATGATTTTTAACTGTATAAAAAGTTGGAGGAGTCCATGACAGAGCAGAGTTAAGGTTGTTTGAGTTCCCAGATTGCGCTTTGCATCTGTATATTCTCTCTCTCTCTCACACACACACACGTACATTTATACACACACAGATACACACAATGAATGCACACAGATTCACAAACTGATCTTTTCAAACCACCAAATGCAGCCACCTCTGAGATGGAATACAGCAGCTATTACAGCTTGTAGAAACATGACATAACAAGAAGTGGAAAACCATGGAGCTACTTGAAACAGAAGGTGAATGTACGGAGGCAGAATATGAGCAGCTAAATTGGAATTTAGTCCTAGTAACCCTATTGCTATAAAACGTGTGATGTGATTTTCATTCATCCAAACTGGTTGGAACCTTGATTTCCTATGTCACAATACCCCTTAGCATAGTTAACAAAAAACCCACAAACCACATTGCCTGTTTAAACGCATCATTTGATGCATCCTTCCCTCCGCCTCCCCCCAAAAAGGCATTACATCTAGATGCCTGGATGGGGCCCTCAGCTTGTTGCACACCATGGATTGAAGCGCAGCAGCCTTTTTTCCCCTGGGCTATTTTTCACTCGCTGGAGAAGTCTGTAACAGAAGTGTCAGGCCCATTTGCT